TGTTTAGGTCAAAATAAAATTGACCGATGTGTATGGAAATGACATGTTGATGGTACGACGGTTCCAAAACTGGCTTGCTAAATTTCATTCCTGGTATTTTGATGTCCAAGATGCACCACGTCCAAGAAGTGCGGTTGAAGCTGATAAAGATGCAAGAAAGATAATATTGCTGCATGGAAATGGGCATAACAGATGGTTTGATAAATCATTCACATTATGTATTGGAAGCAATGGACGGGTATGTGAATATAATCAGATTTTTTATAATTACAATTCATGTGAAATTAATTATTTGTAATGTTTCAGGTTGGATTTAATGCTGAGCACACATGGTATGTTCTATTTTAGTTAATTTTTATAATTTGAATTGTTAGTTTATGTAATGCACATTGTATATGCAATTATAAATCTATATTTCTGGACTGGATTATTGAATGACAATTTTGTGGATACTATTTCTATGATATGAATTTTATATTCAGTCCAGGCAGTATAGGTTTGTTTATGCCATTATGTTTATCACTGATACGATATTTAGATATCACGAGCTTATTTTGTTTATCAAACCTTGTCCAGCATGGTCACGGAAAATAAGTAAAACTTTATTCCAAATTTTCACAATCATCAGTCACTAGATTATAGTGTCATGATAGATGTTTAGAACTTTATAAAATAGTTTGCTCGAAATAAAATAAGCCGTTGGATATTTGTAAGTATAAGAAATAAGTTTCTCTAACAGTCTTTGTTTAAATATATTTGTGAGTAAATTATGACTAATTAAAACAAATGTTTTGCCTGAATAAAATTTTATAGGGCCGACGCAGCTGTACTTTCACATATTTGGGAACTTGTCATTACAGAGGAAGCCATGATGTCCGAAGGGTAATTAAAACATTGAAAAATTCCAAAAAGTAGAAGTCTATTTGCACTGCTCACCTCATTTTTATGTCTGGCACCTTTTAATGGATTAATGAACTTATGTATTTTTTCTAGGTCTTGGAATTCTTTGGTTTTAGAATAGTTACCAATAAATGATATATGATGTTTTGTTGATAAGAGCATATTGTTCATAATTTAGAAACAAAACACCATGTATCAATAGCATGTATATAAAAGATCGTAAGCGGAGATATTATCTTATATTATTTATGCTTTGAATTTTATTTAAAATTGTTGTGCGTTATTAGTTCAATAATATTCTGAATACGGTCTTGCTTGTATCATTTTAGGGCTTTGGTAGAGGTATTTTTTGCATATTTATAAAAACCAATCACAATCAGATTCATAATTAATAAATTTGCAACAAAATACATCTTAAGTCCTCTTTTATAATTGTTATTATTTGCAGCAAATTTAGGCATGATGTGCAGTAGTGTAGCTGTCGACAGATTATTTATTATATGATGATATTGTATTATTTAATATGATTTTCCAATGTTGCAATTGCAATCATTAATTGTAAATATTTAGTACGGTTGTGGTTTTTGTCACAGGGCTGATGCTCCGATCATGGGACATCTTTGGGAGTGCATCATCGGAGATGAGTTGGTTGAAGGGTAAATAGAATGATCACTTAATTAATTAATAAAGATTATAAGGTGTAACTTTTGTTGCCAATAATTATTACAATCACAATTATATATAGCTCAAAGTAATAAAAGCTTTACTATGCTTTTACTAAAAACTTTCTCAAAAATTATTTATTATCATTTGTATTTAACAGAAATGGTTTGGTTAGTACTAATAAAACAATCCCAATTTAATTCAGCTTTCAATTATATTAAAAGCCTTAGGTTCTGGTTTGAATAAGCTTTTAATTAGTAAATTATACTAAAATAATAATCAAAATATAAAAGTCAAGTGGGGAGGGTTAGGGCTATTTTGTTACAAGTATATTTGCATAATTCAACAGTAAATAGAAATTTGAAGCTTAATTTTATTACTTTTCTCAATTTTTGTATCAATATTTTTATATTTTTTACGGATTTACTTTGTATTATCTTATGTATATATAATTTTCTTCAGATATGATGCAAATGGTAACACAAAAGGTGAAATTGGTTTTGAGCCACCAACTCCAGTTCGTCTTCAATGGGATCTGAAAAGTGACGAGTGTCAAAAAACAATAGAAGCATCATATTTGGCAGCCCAGAGCCTATTGAATGATGTGGATTTAAGGATATATGTCCACGATAATTATGGAAAAGGTATAACAACAATAACCAATATTATTATCAAAACTGTATTACATACCTGTTATCATTTAGGTTTTATGAAGACCTGTAGGGTTTCACCGGATGCCTACATCCAGATGGCTTTACAGTTAGCTTATTATAGAGATTTTGGTAAATTCAGTCTGACGTACGAGGCTTCTATGACCAGATTATACAGAGAGGGAAGAACTGAAACTGTGAGACCTTGTACTATAGAATCCGCCGCGTGGGTTAAATCTATGGAAGACGCAACTAAAACTGTAAGGCATGGTGATGGATTTTTATATATTTATGCATTCTTTATTTAATTATTATTTTTTTCTTTAGACTGAAGAAAGAGTTAAACTCCTCTATGCAGCTTGCAAGCAGCACCAACTTGGTTACCAAGATGCTATGTGCGGAAAAGGTATAGATCGACATCTTTTCTGTCTGTATGTAGTTTCAAAATACCTAGAAGTAGATTCACCCTTCCTGAAAGAAGTTTTGAGTGAGCCTTGGCGTTTGTCAACTTCACAAACACCGCATGGACAGACAAACAAAATGGATTTAAAGAAATATCCAAATTGTATTAGTGCAGGCGGTGGTTTTGGGCCAGTTGCTGATGATGGGTATGGAGTTTCATATATAATCGCAGGGGAGGATTTGATATTTTTCCATATCAGTAGTAAAAATAGTTCACCTCAAACGGTAAGTGGTATATAAAATAATTATTATATGTTTATTGAACTATACCTAAGATGTTCTTTTTAATACTTCAGAATTCAAACAAGTTTGCACAACAAATTGAGAAAGCTTTGGCTGATATGAGAATATTGTTCACGGACTTCAAAAAGTCTGCGAAAAAAGCGTAAAAATTTAATGCTGAGACGTGACACTAAATCTGTGTATATATCAATGCAATATAAAGTTTAGTTTATAAATAAAATTTCTATGTTGATTGACAATGAAGAAAAATGAAACTTATAGTCTGATGTTAGAAGTATCCTGCCCGATTTGTTTATTTTGGGGTCTTTCACACTTGTGCTGGTTTTAAAGTAACGTCATCACTAGTTGTTAAATAATTTTTAACTGTTATAATGTATCTTTTGTTAAAGAGAATTTTCATAATGAGTTTTTATGTATATGTTTATTATGAATTTTAATTGAAGACATATCTTTATATCTACTATAGTTGAAAAAGGCAATGAAATAATGTTATTAGTATATTTAGATTATTATAATAATTTATATGAATCACTTGAATTTGTTATATTATTTAAAGGCACAGACCGCGATTAGCCTTTGTAAATTGATGTATAGTTAATAGCGAAGTATTAGCTCAAATTTTAAAAGCACCACTATTTTATTTTTATATGATTTGTGTAAATAGTTATTCATGTAATTATTATTTTTATGTGGTGCCTTAACGGGTTAAATAGTCTGTGCTTAGAAGTAATTCCAGAATGTGAGTGCATTTCTTATGTACAATTTATTTACTAATTTTGGAGTGAATTTTAAGTGTGTTGCGTTTGGATAATCTAATCTGAACTTATATATATGTATAAATAAAAATATTTGTTTATAATATAAAGAATGAAATGAATAACCTAAATTTTATTTCAATTAACAAATTTTTAATATTTATTATAAATTTATTAATCAACAAATTAAGTATTTTAGTAGGAGGAATGTATAAAAATAATTTTATTCTATCTAAGTATCATTAATCAGTTTTTACAAAATACGAAAAATGATCTATAATTGTTTTTATAATCCTTTTTCATGTCCATTTTGATTTCATCAGCCGCAATATACAGAGCTCCTATACTTCCAACTTCTCTCAATTGGACTAAATTTAACTCGAAACGACTTTCAACACCTCTGAATTGTTCTAAGACTTCGACAAATCCTGGTTTTAGATGTCTCCAACTTTTCCAAACAGAACCCACGCAAACAACTGTCAATGGTTCCTCTAAAAGCTTCTGGTCGGCCTTTGGCAATAAAGCTGTAACGTGTCTCCCTAAGGATCGTCCAGCTTCTTTGAAAATAGATTTACTCAACTCGTCTCCTGAATCTGCAGATTCGCATAACTTTTCACAAAGCCCTGTGGGGAATAAAATATTTAATCTGTATAAATACTTATAGGCATGGCCAAGCTAAATCAGTATAGTGTAGTGTACCAGCTATTTTATTCTTCTCAAACTTTCCATAAAAATGATCCAATAATTCAACTCTTCGTTCAATATTAAAATATTCCTTTATATCCTCCCAAACATTATTTATACTATAGGGGCTGGATGAATATTCATCTTGTTCATCAATAACAGTCACAATAGCTGTACTACTAATCCACCAGGCTGTTAAAAATATCACAATTAATTTAAATTATTATTAAATAACATCTTAAAAAACTAACCACTTCCTTTCTCGCCTAATAAGTGACCCCAGCCCCCGCAATTGTATTGTTTTCCATCTGGGTTGCGTAAAATACCATTGGAACCAGTACCTTTAAGTAAAAAGTAAATAAGTATATAATGAAAATAGTTTTAAAGTGAAGATATTAATAAATTGTTAAAAAGAGAAAATACAACTGAAAGCTGAAGCGCAGGATGAGGAAGTATGGAAGCGGAAGCAAGGAAAGGGAAATGCATGAAAGTGTATAAAAAAGTGAACAAAGGTAACGCTGATGGGAATAATAAAAAAGTATAGAAATGTAATCATTGATTCGTTGATTTATTGTGCTCTCATACCATGGACCTGCCTTCGGACAGACGCAGACTAATATTTATTATTATTAATCCTTTCCACTCGCAAATTCTGAAATGTATGTGTATTTTGCTGCCGGAGCGGCGGCATCCGAGTCGAAAGGGTTAATATATAAATCATTTATAGTCACTTGACAAAAAACCTCGTCCTGCCCACATCCTTAGAATTATTGCATGACTGTTATTAAGATGATAAAATCAAATATATTACAAATACCAAATAGACAATATTTATTAATTTATAATAATTATCTATTAATCTATTATCTATTAATAACATCAGTCATATTAATTATTAATTTTGCAACAAATGAATTTGCAATTATCTCCACGACTACAATCATCGTCTACGAGGACCCTTATGCTCATGAATCCGTTAAAAAAATTATAAAATAGAGATACTATTGTTAATAAATATTTAATAAATTATTGAATAAATAAATGGTTCAGTAATTTTATAACATTTGCATCAGTTTTATATCAAATTTCAATAGTTTTCATTGCGACATAGAAACCGTTAATTAGAACCGTTGATCAAAATTAATTTAAAATCGTGGAGGTCAATAACATAAATTAGGGCAAGTTCTAAATACATACTTAATTATGATTTCCATATAATTTGTTAAAATAATTATGAATATGACATTTTTTGAGGAAAACGGGTGATTAAAAATATCGATAAATTCCGCTACCACACTCTTTGATCTTTCCAATAATGGTTTGTAATGCAATACTATTCAAAACCATAATTTAACAATATATAAGCCATTTGAATAAGTTATATTACAAAATTTACTGACATTAATTCACTATTTGTTCAAACAATTAAACAGTTTTTTTTATATGAATCTAAAATATCAATTGCTCCCGATCGGTTTCGATCATGTTTCGATTTGTTGTTTAAAAAAAAATGGCGGAAAGCAATGATCTTCCTTAACATGCTGCCAGTGTTTTATATGATTTCAATGCGAAAACAGTGTTGATTTAGTACAAAAATGTAGTAAATATCTTTTTAAATTGTGCGCTTAATGATTTACATAGTAGTTTTGATTAGTTACGTTGTAAAATAGTGGAATGGAAGTAAACAATGGCATGTGCTTAATACAGGTTAGTGCAAAATTATAATATTCTTTAATAATTTTTGACATTTGCTTGATTGGCATATACAGTATATCTATTAAATAAATGTGTTTCTTTTGCTTTATAAACATTTAAACAATTCGCTATTCTTGTCCGCAGTCATCTAATAAGTTGACAAAAAATATGGCGATCCTCTTATTGAAATTTTGTTAAATGAGTCTTAGTTAAATACTAAATCTACTACTAATTTGTCTTTTATGTATGGATATAGGTTTATTCAACAAGTTGTTGTTAATCTATATCAGATGTACACATAATTAAAACATGGCAATTAAAGTTTGTACTACTTTGTACAATGTCTTGTACAATAGTATTGCTGAATATAGGACCTTCCCAATAATGGTATTGGGTTCTTATCATAATACGACTAGTTAATCATATGCAACATCACCAATGTGATAATTAAATAATGCAAATATTTTGTTCAGGTAATTCTGGAAAATGCATTTTAAAATAGCTTTTGATTCGACTGCCTAGATGTATACTGGAATGATTGTAATGCACTGCAATTACCTTTACATTTTACCTTGATATTTACTATGATGTATAGATATTCATATTGAACAGGAAAATGCTTATGATCCTGTCGAAAGTAAATTATCATGTAAGTTTACCAAGTATTTAATGTCCCACATTCTTAGCTATTTGCTGATTTCTCGATACTTTTCATGTATCATTCATATTCATTATCTCTGTCAATTCTTAATTTTTTCTGTAAATGGCATATTTGTTAATGCAAATCCTTATTACTATGAATTAAGAACTTTATTCCGATGCAAGTTCTGAAACTTTTAATCAATATTTGAAGAATCATTTTTGGCAAGTGCCTGATGTATATTGATTGCTTGCATTTATTTCCAGGAATACATCATAACTTATGAATGCAATTCCAAAAAGAGATTCCATATTTTCAGGTGGATAACAGACTTCCAAGAATAAATGGATGATGTTCAAAATGGAATAATCATATATAATATGAATTCGCTTGGTTTTCTTGATATTAGTTAATTACCTGATATCAAAACCATGCCTCCTGCATCAGTAGCAGCAGATATACTTCCAAATGTATCGCTGTGAATTACGCAAAGCTCCATAAGCTGGGGGCACAAACTTCGTATTTCTTTTTCTAGCAAATCATTTGATTCTTTTTCTTCACAACCACTGAGACATAAACTCAGACAAGCTAATGGTTGATTTTGATTGATTTTTGCTTCTTCTTTACCCTTAAAGGGAGACACATGGTTATAAAAAATTGAGTTAATTAGTTCAAAATTATATTATATATCACTTACTTTGTTTACCATGTCGACAATTCTTCGTGCACATTCTTGTCTACCTAAAATCCAGTGGTTGGTTCCGGGACCAGCTATATTTACCATAATCGTTTGATTCAGGTCGCATATTAATAAATTGGAACGTGTTCCGCCTCTGTTGTTTAAAAACTTTAATGAAATCGGTAATTGCATGCATGTTATAATTAAATTTCATTATTCAGTTGACCATATCTTCATGATTCATTCAATGAAATTACTCATCAAATATTTGATTGAATCATGATCAGTAAGATTAATTTTTATCAAAATGATGCAACATTTAACAAAAATTCTATTTGGTATGAAATTTATTATCACGGTTGTTATCATTAAAAAAATATGATAAGTATAGCTGATATGATGAATTGCAAATAAGAAAACGAAAGGTGTGAACAGGAAATTGATTTCAATAAAATTTTATAGAAGCTTATTTAGATATTCAAAATAAATTTAAATCAACTATTTTCTGGACAAAAATTTTAATAAGAGTCTTATTGGAAGACACAAATGTATATTCATAATTTAACAAAATATATTTAGAAGTCTAGAAAATAATTTTTGGAACTCACTTTTTATTCGTTCTTGCAATACAGTATACCAATATTTTCTATATATATATATATATATATATATATATATATATATTATTTATTTATTGCTTGTTTTATTTGTATGTAAAATATGAAGATTACCTTCGAGTAACAAAACTATGTTGCAAAAAATTTATGGCTAGACTTGTAAATTAAATATTTATTTTCACAATGCCATTACATACCCTTCCACTCCACATATATATTTATTATCACCACTCATATTTATTTATTGATTTTAAACTTTTTATCACCACTCGAATGTTTTTTGCACAGCTGTTGAGTTATCAATATGACATTGTGCACTTCAACAGTATTTACTTTAGATAAAGAGAAATTGAAGGAAAATGTACTATAAGTACTTCCCAGATTGTAGTTTTTGCTTTATAGATTTTGTTCAAAAGATTGTTTCAAGTTGTTTGATGTAACAATGTTTGTGAAATAATTGATTGCACAATTGCAACAGAGTGAAAGGAAAATATTTCACATTTTATTTGTTTGTCGGCATTCAGATAAAAACCAGTTTTTTCAAGAAATTTACATTATATTTCACGTATAACTTGTGTTAAATATATTTACAACTTGTGACGTTCATTACATATTTACAAGCACATAACCTCAAAACAAACAAATTGTTATTAACACATTTTATAAATAAATTTATATATATATATATATATATATATATATATATATATATATCAATGCCCTCTCTTTAAAATTTTGTAGATAATTCAACTGATAAATAAATTGGGCACCACAGTTTGCTGAAATAATAATTTGATAAAGTTTTTCATTCAGTTATACAAAATATACTTATTAATATTTAAAATATTATTTTTATCTGTATAAACATGAATATAATATATAAATACTTCTACTAATTATTTATCAACTTATATGTATAATTTACTATTAAAATTATTAAAATTTGAAATATTGCACGAGGAATAGGTTGCAAATTTTTATCCATATTACTTCTCTAACTATTCTAATATTATATTTTATACTTTTATAATTAATTATTTGATCAAACAATGATTTTATTTGAATTTTCAATAAGTTTTGTCGTTTTGGTTTAAGACTTGGGATACTTTTTGATTAAAATGTTAACAGAGGACCCACATGGTTTTCTGAAAATACAATAATTTAAGAGATACAAAATTTAATATTTTTATAAATATAAATTTATAGTATTTATCAACTACTCGAAGAAAACTCTCATGTTATTGTTTTTGCCAGAAAATCCGACTTGTTAATTTTACGTTTTTGATAAGTTGATCGTTTGAGAATGAAATGTATATAGAGGATTTATATAAAGAAGCCGAACTTTGGTTTTTCTTTAACGTTTTTTTTAAACGGCTGAACCTATTTCAAAAGTTTAAAAGCGGTTTGATGCAAACTCGATTAGAATTCACGTTGATTAGTTTCGCAAAACGTTCATCCAAGTCGTTTTCCAGAATTTTCAAAGCTGAGCACGCTTTCGCAAAAAATCTAAACAGATTTTGAAGAAAACTGTTTGATAGATCTCAGTTGAGTATTGATTACTTTAAATATCATTATCTATTTTATTTATTTCACTATTGCTTATAATAATCTACGTCTTATAAATTTTCTATCATTTTTTATTTCAAGCACTATCATTTTTTAGTCTATTATTATCTGAAAAATATTACTGTTAATATTGTATGTCGTATGTCTGCTATGTTACCACAATAATGGTTCATGAATAATGCATTTCATATATAAAACAAATTCATTACAATTTATGTAAGAACGTCCTCGCCGCTTGCCCTGGATGTGTTTAAATCATCAGAACAAAACTAATACAATTTCCTGGGACACCCCTTAATTTGTTACAACCCACTTTATTAATTATCAACCACTGACGACAAAAAGTTTGCTCCATTTGCACATATGTACCACCTGGACAACTTTTTCTCTTTTCTCTTGGAAAAACTTTTTTCGCTACCGCCTTCGTCTTCCACCCTCGAGGAAAAAGAACAGTTTTCCCGAAGTGTCGATAATGAAAAAGTTCTAGGGGAAATTTACGTTTAATTTTTGGTCTTGGGCGGAGGCGGAGGACCAGTAGAGAGGGGTCGAAGAAATGTATGATGAAAAAATTATTATAGTAATAAAAGTAATAATATATTTATAATTATATATTTTTATTAATTATAAAATGTGTATGCGTTTGAAAGCGGGATATAGTGCATTGGATGGGTACATTGACCACAAATTAAATAGTGTCGAACTAAGCAACTAGAATTTAGCTATGTTGATTCTCATGCCTTTGTTGATTATTGAAATTAATTCTGATTTAAATTAATTCTGATTTAAATTAATTTTGATTTAAATTATGACTTGTATTAGATTTACTTCCGACTAAGAATTTCTCTTCCGCTTCCAGTTTAGACGACTATTGATTTAGTTCCGACCGACTCAAATTTTGTGTGTGCAACATGCATGCAATGCAAACGGAATTATAAATTATAGATTATATATATATATATATATATATATATATATTTGCATGACATTTTGCCATCTAATATTTGCCTGTATGAATAAGCAACACTGCAGAGAATATTTATTTTTAATTATTTTATAAAATAGATAAATAATACATTTTTAATTCATTATTTTTGAGATAGTTGAAATATTCATTAATTCACTCTATGGAGTTTTTTTATTTGTAATTTGTAATTATTTGGTCGACCAATAGGTGAGCCTTACGACATACAAATGCATAATATATATATATATATAATATATATATATATATATATATATAATATAAATTCCTGGCATGAGCCAGCCAACTAACATTGAGTCCGACCGAGCTTTCAAATTAAATTCAAGTCTGAGCAAGATTGATGGCATCTCTGCACAGTTTTCGTCTAAAATTCGTCCTTATGTGGATATATTCACAAATATACAAACATACATATATATATATATATATATATATATATATATATATATATATCATTCAAAAATATCCTTTTGATATATGATCGCAGAATGGAGAGACAACTATTCTTTTGTTTTTTTTTTTCATTTCTTCCCTTGTTGTCTTCTATGCGATTTGCATTTTTTCATAATTTATTTATTTTAATAATTTCCATTTTAAATTTTCGTCAAGTTTTTGATGTCCTGTCAGCAATTATTTATGCCCTGTTTCTAATTTTTCGGTTCATTCTTACATAAATTATATTGCGTCTTCATAATATTTTTTTAGTATTTTATTAGTAATTTCTCGAGCAAACCGTTCCTCTACTTGACTAAACTTTAAAACTTGTTAAAAGTTTCTTATAGAAAGTTCGAGTTATTTTTATGTATTGATACTTTTTATAAAAGTGTCGTCTTCCGAGGAGGGATTATGAGTTTAAGACACCAATTTCGGTCTGGGATTAAAACAGATGCAATATATATATAATGAATTATGGTTTATGAATGAAACATGGAACACGATAATCTTGTGCAGGACTAATTTAAATATTTAACTTTTTAAACTCTGTTTGTCTTAAGACGTTGTAATTTAGGTATTGGATAATCTTATTTTGAATTGTGAAAATACTAAATATCATTATTATTTAAATATCATTATTAATTCATAATTAGTACCGAAATATATTTGTTTAAATATCTGGATCCTCAAAACCATATGCTTTTGGAGAAAGAAAGAAGAAAATTTTATGAAAATTTAGTTATGGGATGCCCATAACTTATATGTACATAGTAAAATTACTTAAGGTTACTTGTACATTTATTAAAAAAAGAACAAAGTTGACGGTTGTTTCTATTTGGGTATTTGTATTTTCAAAAAATGTACATAGTACACAAGAATTTGATTTTAAAATTGTTTTCAGAATCGATTTGAAAAAAAGCTGTAATTTGGTCATGTGATACCCAAACAACAGCTTAAAATTATGAAAATACTAAACCGCACCATTTAGTAACAAAACGAAATTTGCAAACTTTTGAAACATTTATCTACAATTCTTCACAATGATTGATTACACGCAATTCACTCCATTATATAAAAATTACTCAACAAAACGCATAATCTCCGCGTGCGGTCCATCAAAATTATTAATATTTGTACTCGAAGTCCTCCCAGAGCCCCTTTCGGTCTTCGGGGCGTTATTAATGACGAAAAAAGCTCCGCTCGGGTTCTCCGCGCTTATACAATTATTCTCTGGTGCGATTTTAATTATGCCTTCGCTCGCGTCCACTAAAATATTACATTATGTACAACAGAGAATAACGTATGAAATTAATGAAATAATTTCATCGCTGAAAACGGGAAAAATGATAAAATACCGCACGAAGTGGAAAGGAGTCTTCGCCGGCCGTCGCGGAGTCTACACCTCCGCCACCACTCTACATGGTCGTCGGTGCAATTAAGTTTGTATTACAACACCCCCATCACGGGGGGCGGAGAAACAGATTAATTTCGGTTAATGAAAAATAGGTTCCGGGGAAGAAGTGTTGAATATTGCACATTACAGAAAGATTAATTGAAAGTGGAAATTCAGGAGAACCGAGATTTATATTTACAGAGGAATCAGATTTATTATTACGTCTACGAAGACGTTAGGTGTGAGTTTATGGTTTTATTAGTATTTTTATCTAATAAGTAATAATCTGTGTTCCCTTATCCCTTCAACAATTTACTTAAAAGCTCTTCTCCAGATGCTTTGGTTGACATATATTGCAAGAACATTGATTGATGTTTTGGAGAGAGGTGGAGGTTAAGTGTATTCAATTCGGGAGAAATTCGTCTCGAGAAGGAGGTGTGGATTGTTCCCCAACCCAGACACATGGTCTGTGTGACAAATGTGTACCCCACAACCTACGTGCTTTTGGCCCTTTCTTAAAGAAGATGAGTTATTCTTTAATATTGTTGATTCTTGATTAAACACCCTGTACTATATATAGTAAAATTTGACTCAATTCTTATCCACAATGTTGTAAAATAATAAAAGGCGATGGTCGAATAGCGGTTTTTTGCGAACGTTATTAAAACCAGAATGAAAAGCGGGAAAAGGGAAAAACGAAGACAAGGGGAGGGGGTGAAAAAGAAAATTCCCGGAAACGAAAGTATAATCTTATGGAAATTATTATCGTGTTTGACTTTTATTAAAAAAAACTGGATTCTTTGGATTGGATTGGATTTGCGACACCGACGACGACGTCCGAGTGTCTTAATGAAAACCTGAAAAAGGGGAAAAATGTAATAAATTTATATATACTTTTATATACATATGCATGTCTTTTCTGAATCTTCGTCAGTTATTGAAGAATGTGTACTCATAACTTACATATATTTATATATACATATATATATATAT